ATGCCGCACATCAGTGCCCATTCTCGCACTCGACCACCGGGCTTTGAGATGGCTTGCGCTACGCGCTGTTGCTCGGTCTGGAGCATGGCGGATGCGATGGCCATCTCGACCTCTCTCGCCGAGAGCAGGAGATTCTCTCCATCCTCCCCTTCAAAGACCAAAACACTCACCATGAGCGGCTTAGGGCGGGCGAAGTCATCCTTACTGTCGGTGGCGTCATAGACGTAAATGAAGCAGACATCTTCGGCTGCAGGTGCTCTAGCTGCGCGTTATCGAAATTCGGAAACGCCTCTAGACGCGCACCGATTGCCTCGGGGTCTTGCGCAGCAAGGTGTTGCACGTTCTCAGGGCCCAGCAAGGACACCAGCTTTTTAAGCCCGTCCTGTATGCTCTGGGGCAAAAAGATTTTTTTTTTCATCCTCACCGAGGATCAGTCTAAACGACTCAGGTGTAGATTGACTACAAGTGCTACCAAGTGCAGCGGGGCTGAACCAATACGAGTGTAGCGGATCACAATCCGCTACCTCCAACAGTAATTATTGTCTCAACTTAGGCTAATAGACTCTTCGGCTTATTTTCAAAACTGATTTTTATTGTTTTTTTTTCTGCGGCAAAGCCGCCTAATTTCAAATGTCTAGATTTTCCTAAATATATATAGTAAAATCAAAATACATGGGTAACTACTGGCTACCTAGCCACATACCGTATTCTGCAGTCACACCATGCCCATCTCGTGTGACACACACACCTGCTACGAGGGTACGTGTAACCCCGTTACATTCTTGATATGGCATGGCTGGAACGCCATGAGCTATGGATTAACTGGAGGTCTAAGACCTTGGGCGACGCGCACACGTCTCCTGGTGGAGCTTTGATGAGTCATGAAACCACCTCTGCCATCAAGAAGAAGCGTTATTGGCGCGGGCACTGGACCGGGACGGTCAATGTGCTGGATATCGGAGTATCTGAATTGTCAAACAACGAAGGTGTTTAATTCCTTAAAATAATTTATGGAATTTGGTGTATATTTAGATGCATTTGTGTTGCGTGGTAAAATTGTGGAGGACGAATGTATGTCAGTGCCACACTTTTATGGCATTTTTTATAGCTCTGACATACATTCGTCCTCCACAATTTATCAAGCAACACAAATGCATCTAAAAATACACCAAATAAAATACACTTTTATAGCACTGACATACATTTGTCCTCCACAATTTTACCAAGCTCGGCCCAGAAATTACGTTCATTCACATTCACTTAATTTCCTAATTGAAGCATAATGGCGCTGTGGGGCACGCTGCGCCATCGCCTTGGTGGATCTGTGCCAACAGATTCAAAAGAGTTTGTGGATAATTTTTTTACAACGACGCCTCAGGACCCGCGCTGGGGACTAAGCCTTATCCAAAAGCAAACAGAGGAATTTGTCGCCGCGCAGCTAGCTGACCAGCGGCGCGGCATTGCGCTTATTACGTCAGGTTCTACGATCGTGCCGATGGACCCAGAGAACGATACATTTGTCGATGTGGTCTCTCATGTGCAGGAGCAGCGTGGTCCAGCTTGTGCTGAGTATTTCTTACAACTGGGCTACGCCGTCATATTTGTACACCGGGAAAATTCCTTGCGACCTTTTACGCGTCACTTTCAAAAAATTATACAGAATGGGGTCTTCATGAACATGCTTCGCATGCAAGACGATGGGCTTGTACTTTCTGGCGCTGACATTTCGCAGCAGCTGCAGTTTCAAAAAATCACACAGCTATACACCGAATGCAGCACTCGTGTGCTTTATTTAAGCTTTACATCAGTACAGCAATATCTTATGCTTACCCGAATTACTGCAAAGGCTGTAGAAGTGGCTAAGGACCAAGGCATTGTAGTGCTCAGTGCCACACTCATGGACTTCTACGTGCCGGTAGATTCTTCTATCGCCGCGAAGACAATTGTGAGTACAGTAAATGAAGACGTCTCTTCATCTTTGCTCTTTTCTCCTTTAAAGCATAGTAAAACTCAAAGCATCAGAAAGTCTGCAAAGAAAACGACAAAAAGGAAAAGTGGTGAGTTCTCCGTCAACTTTGTCCGGGTTCCTAATATCATTCACAAGATTCGCACGGAATGGTGTCCAAAGGCATTTTTAGTCACGAGCAAGCAACAGCTTGCAAGTGGCGAGGATATAGAGGCTGCTCATGCCGATTTAGAGAAATGGGGCGTCGATGTAATTGCGGGAAATCACCACTCGCACGAAATTCTGCTCATTTCTGAGCAAGAGGAAGCAATCGTGACGTGTCCTGACGATGAGGATATTAACGATGCGTTCGCATCTGCGCTTGCTGATATGCACCGCAGCTTTCGGCGCAAGCGGGCGATTCTCGCGCGAGGTAAACAGCTTTTACTACTATCCGCCAAGTTTTCCATGCTCAAGGAGAAGGATGTGGTAAGTGAAGATGCTGATGGAAATAAAAATGTTCAGTTTGGTCTCGGTGTCAAAATTCGAGCGGATCGTAGAGCACCCGATGCCATAGCTCCCGTGTACGAACTCAAGCATATTTTTCAAAACAAAAGCCGCTGCGCACGAGCACACATTTGGGAAAGTGTGGTGGAGCATTCACCTCGGGATGTTGTGGTTGCCTTCAGTCCGGCCGGCAATCCAGAAACAATTCGTGACGTATGGGGAGATTTCTGGTCAGGATGGGCTGAAGACGAGTTGCAAGAGTTCAAAACGGAAATGAAGGGAATGTCATTTTCGTCGGCGATAAACCTTGTTACTTCATCAGTCTCGGGTAATTATGAGCCTGCCTCTCAGCTTCTAAAGTTCATGTGGAGTAAAATTGGACATGCCTGGACTGATGGTGAGCAGACGCGTGTTCGCCAGAGTATTCAGAACATGATGGCCGTGGCTTTAGATCGTGGCCTTACAGAACCTCCAGGCATCTCAATTCTGGAGAGGCTAATGCGCAAGCCTCGCATTCAGCGCTTCGACTCGCTTGTGCTAGACCAACCGACAGCTGTGTCAGTGCACGCGCAGAGACACACTCGACGTCCTCGGCGCGACAGTGACACAGATAGTAATAGCTCTGGAGAAATTAATCCTGTGCGCTTAAGTAAAGCTCGAGTCGTTCGTGTGCATCGTGCTATAAACGATTACATGCAAGATATGATAGAGAAAGGATTACTGGATTCTATCTTAAAGTACGTGGAACAGGGAAGTCGTGTACATGTGACTGGTTATAGTATGGGAGGCATGCTGGGACAGCTTTTTATGTTGTACCTAGGCGATTACGCTCGCATGAATGCGTGGGATGCGAGCAAAATCAATTTTGTTGGCTTTGGTTCTCCTCGAGTAGGTGATATTGGCTTCGCCGCTCGGCTGCGCGTGCTTTTCGACCCGCAGCAATTGCTGATCATTATGCATCCTTCAGATGCTGTTCACGCTTTTCCTCCAACGGCTGAGGGTTACGTGGACGCTTGCATCAAGATCTTCTTACGCGAAGACGGATTGGGGGTTGCTCGACGCACACCGGGCCACTTTACACTGCTTCCCGTTACCAGGTCTATTGACCGTGCTTTTGAGCACGCTTACAAAGAACGTGCGCATGAAAATAAAAACGATCGGGCTTGTTCTTTTTGCCAAGGCAAGACTCACCTCACAGCTCAGCATCGGTGCCGATATTGCATCGAACGTGGCTCTCATCGTGGGGCTGATTGTCAGAATCGCAATAAGCCTTGCTTGTTGTGTGGTAACTCAAATCACTGTACCGGTGAGCACAAATGCCGCGTGTGCCAGCAGTATGGACACCGTGGTCGTGTGTGTCATGCTCAGCGCGATGTTGGCTTTGCTGAGCTGCTCACCTACTTCCGGTATCACCACTTTCTCTACTACAATGCCAACCTTAAGAAGTCAGTTGAATTTGCATCGTGAGTATTTCTCAAAAGTCACTCTTCATATTTTACAGCCATAATACGGTTTCACTGCTTCGAAGGTGGATAGATCGACCAAATCGCTATTTTGTGGTCCTTGGAGCAAGATGTGAGAAGCGTGCTATCAGCACTAAAGTCTAGCCCAAATACACTTTCGTTATGATATTTAAGCACGGCTAGTTGCTTCAATTTTCGCAAATGAAAAAGACGAACACGATGGTCCCAGCCAGCGGTGGCCACAATGCGCTGATCCTCACGAATACATACCCCACTAAAACCACCGTGAGTGCAGGAGAAGAAAGATCGAGAGCTGAGCGTATTTGAAGCAACGTCAAACTTAGCTATATACAATCTTTCGCCCGAGGACCCGCAAATAGCCGATCGTCCATCTCGTGTCACGTCAAAAGAGAGCACTACGTCCACGAAGCAGAGAAATATAAGATATGGGAAGGAAAGGTGTATCACACGGTACAGCAGCATACATGCATTTGAGGATTGGGTAACTGTGGTCTCACAAACCACTTCTCCTCCAGACCGCAAGTCTAAGATGGTAAGTTGTCCTCCTTCAAAGCCGGCAGCGATATACGTCTGCACGTTGCCGCCAGCTCCATCTTCAGCAAGTGCAACACTACTGTTAAAAAGCGAAAGTGACATACACATGCTTCGCTTGGCTGGAGCGTCTGGAATGGTGATCGTCAACGCCGGCATCGAATTTCGAATATCGAAGACCAGAAGCTACTTAACCGCACAGTCTAAAATAACGGTCTGCCAAATTCTTTTGTTCTTAAAAACGATCTTACCTTATTGTATTCGCTACTGGGACACACAATCAAGCTTGCAGACACAGATGAGCCACTGTCGGACCAACGTAACGTTGTAAACTTCGTGAACGAGTACGACCCACAGTAAAACTTGGTTAATGGCTCGGCCAATGCATTAAAGGTCGGTATATCCCACACCTTCACAAACCCATCACGACCCTGCGTGACAAGTTTGTGCTCCATCGACGTGGCTCCTTGTAAAGATGCCGTATGCAATACACCAGCTTTTGAATGAGTTGCAGAGTTCGATGCGAGCTCTCGACGAGATTGAAGATCCCATATTTTGACAGCTCCGTCACCTGCACAAGACACAATGGTGTTGGTGGAGATAAATTTCACGCTATTTACGGGTGCATTATGGCCGCGCAAAACGCTAAGCGGCTTCGGTGTCGGCTTAGAACATAAGCCTTGCATTCTTCGCACTGATTGGTTGTTATTGAAAAGTGTGGTTAAAGTAGACCATTGACATACATATATGCCAACTAGATGATGCAAAAGTCTGTAACACATCTGTTGATCGACATACCGCGTAGCTTAATGGCGTCATAACATTATCGAACAACGGCTCTCAAAATTGTTATGATTTACACATTAGCGTACATCGCTTCGAGCGTGGTTAATGTTAGACAGGGGAGCAACTAGTCTTGAGATGAGCTTTTGAGAACTGATTGAATGTAT